CAGCGTGTGAGGTAAGTACCCCTTAAAGTATGTAAGCCTCGAGGTCCCCTGTGTAGTACCCCTCAAGGTAAGCCTCGAGGTACCCTGTGAGGTACCCCTCAAAGTACCCCCCTCGACCTCGAGGCGTGGTTCTTTTCATAGCACTTTCCGCTTGACCCTATTTGGGACTTCCCCTTTCCTGCCGTACCTGAGTTTGTAGCAGCGCCGGCTCAGCACCTTGAGCCCCGCGTCCGACACCTGGTCGCACTTGGCCACGGAGAGGTAGCGCAGCGTAGCGCCCAGCTTGGCCAGCTCGTAGAGGCCGAAGTCCGTCACCTGGCCGCAGTCGGACACGCTCAGCTCGCGCAGCTGCGAGCAGAAGCTGGGCACGTACTTGACGCCGGCATCTGAGAAACGGACGCAGAAAGCAAGCAGCTTAGCGAAAACCGTACTGTTAGCACCGGAGAGACGCCATTGTGTCAATGAATGTGCCTGCTCGATGTGAAGTTGTAACTTGGATTGTTTTCGTGCGATGTACTTGCCTGTAATGTTGATGCAGCGCCTGAGGTAGAGGTACACGAGCTGGGGGCAGTTCCGCACCACGACGCGCAGCCCGGCGTCCTCCAGCGCCTCGCAGTCGGTGAGGTCGAGGTACTGCAGCTGCAGCCGGCGCGGGGGCTCGGGCCCGGGCGTGACCGCGAGCGTGGTCACGCCGGTGCAGCCCGTCAGGTCGAGCCGCTGCAGGTTGGTGCAGCGCGTGGCGATCTCGGCCAGCGCCGCGTCGCCCAGCTGCTGGCAGCCGTGCAGCTGCAGGTGCTGCAGGCCGGGGCAGCGGCGCGCCAGCTGCGTCAGCCCGCGGTCCGAGAGGGTGGCGCCGTCGGTGACCTGCAGTCGCTGGATGGTGGCGCCGCAGCCGCCCAGCCGGCGCAGCACGCCGCGCACGGCGCGGTCCCCGCTGAGGGACGGGCCCCGCAGCCGCACGCAGCGCCACAGCGTCGGCTCCCACGCCAGCGAGCTCCAGCGCCGGCACACGCGGGCCGCCCGGCACAGCGTCGGGCAGTCCAGCCAGGAGAACACCTGCAGCACCAGGTCGTCGGGCAGGCTGTCGAAGGTGTGCGTCCTGCCCGCGTCCAGGTCGCCGTCGTCGTCGGCGTCCCCGTGCGGGGTGGCGGTGCACGAGCGCTGGGCCGGTGTCGGGTGCGGCCAGGGCAGCTCCGGCCAGGCCCCGCCGTGCTCGTGCGGCCCGGGCCGCCAGGGCCCGGGGCTGCACCAGCCCAGGCCGTGCCCCAGGCCGTGGCCGAGGCTGTGGCCCAGACTGTGGCCCAGCGTGTGGTACCCCTGGTCCACGCACGGCGACGCACGCCCCGTCACCAGTCTGGGGAAGCCTGGGGGGTCAAGATTGCATGACATTAAAATCGGGAAACATTTGAAAAATGTCGAAAATTCCAAACGCTAAGAGTAAAAGAGGAATTTTAACTGTTAGTAATAATGAATGGTTCATCACCTTTGCTAATTATTATTATTTTTCTGCATTTTAAACATTCTCTTTTACTGTACTTGTGTGCTCACCTGGCGATGGGAAGGCGGGCGAGGAGTGTCCTCCGTGCGCGGGCGGGCGGTACTTGTAGCAGCCGGGCGAGGGGACGCCGCCCGGGGGCCCGGGGCACGCGCCCCCCGGGGCCCCCACCGGTGACGGCCGCCCGGGCCGCGACTCGCGCCCCAGCGAGCCCAACGAGTCCCTGCCCAGGGAGCCGAGCGACCCGAGCGAGTCGCGGCCAAGCGAGCCGAGAGAGTCTCTGCCGAGGGAGCCGAGCGATTCCCTTCCCAGCGAGGCGCGCGAATCCCGGCCCAGGGATCCGAGCGAGTCCCTGCCCAACGACCCGAGCGAGTCCCTGCCGAGGGACCCCAGCGAGTCCCTCCCCAGCGACCCCAGCGAGTCCCGGCCCAGGTCCCGGCTCAGGGACCGCATGGACGAGAGCGAGTCCCGCCCCAGCTTCTTGGGCGGGCAGGGCCGCGGCGCCGGCCGCGGGGGCGCCACATGGTGAGTCATTCCACCTGGAACACACAAAGGCACGTCAGCGACACGACAGCGACACCAGAATCGGGCACGGGGGCGCCACATGGCATTGCCCCCGTGACACACACGCGGCGCGCCCACAACACGTCTGTAACCCCAGCTGTGAGCATCACGAGGGGTGGATAACTCCCCTGACAAATGTACTCCCGTAATTCTGCCCAATTCAAACAAAGTCAAATTTACTTCAACATAATTCAGAAGTAATTCAAACAAATTCAAAAATAATTCAACTAATTCAGTCCAATTCAAAGCAATTTACATTCAATTCAAGTCAATTCAAGCCAATTCACGCGAATTCAGTAGAATAAAATCACAATAATTCAAACCAATTCAAAAACAATTTAACCAATTCAGTCCAATCCAAAATCCAATTTAAGCCAATTCAAATCTAATTCTTGAAATTTGTACGTCCAATTCAGGAGTTATCCACCCCTCTCGGAGCACCACCAGCGGCCAGCCCAGTAACTCCAGCAGAGCGGCCCACTTTTGCCACTACCCAATCAGCATGGAACAATCTGTACGTCGCGAAACTTTCTCGCGCCGCGGGCGCTGCTGCCGCGCGCTGTTTTTCGGGATTCCTTCCTTCCCTAAGTGATGGAGAGCAATCATGACGATGTTTTAGCTTGCACTAAACGCGTCGTGTGGGTAACGGGCGGGG